CTGGCGTGGTGCCATGTAGTCATGGACCCTATTTGTTTCGAGTTATCTTTGAAGGCACGTGGTAGAGCTCGGAGTGACTGTCTACAGCCATGGATATTAGAGATAAGGCGATGGTGGAGATTTTCAAACATGCCTATTGATTCTGGAAGCACTGCGGAGTACCTCCGACGCCGAATAGTGCCTGCTATACCTGTGGCAACACATTGGTATCTTAGTAGGTGCTACTCTACACCCGGTAGGTACTTCTGTCTGGTGTTCGCAAGTTGGTAGGCCAGCTCCATGGCCGCTAAGACAAGCCATATCATCCCAACCGACCCGGAAATCGCTGACATCGGCGGGTGGCTTGAGAACCTATTGGCACAAGCCTCAGCTGCTAGGCCAAGTTGGATACCCAGGCGCCAATGCAAGCTCCTGAATACCATGTCGGGCCAGACCAGCTGCATCGCGGAGCAATACTACATGTGAATAGGATCGGGCAAGCATTAGAATGGATAGGTAGCCTAAAAGGGCTCCCTCCCACTAATGCAGGTACCAGACTGGAGCAATACAGGTGTGCTAGTGGCGAGGGTCATGTTTGACGTAGCACACGAGCTCGTTGCCTGTGCGGTGTAGAGGGTGTGCCTCTGCTCAAAGCACTTGCATCTCGACCTTGGCAGCACCTTGCCTTCACCATCCATTGCTGGTCCAATTCCCCCCTGCCTGCTCAACTCGGGGTTACCGGTGGAAATCGTTTTGACGTGATGATACAACTCATAACCTTGAATCAACTATCGCCAATAATCAAAGCGGATTATTGTGTCTTCGATTATTGGCTGGACCCGGCTGGACCAGCAAAACACGAGTAATAAACCTGCATACAGCAAGATGATTTAGTGCTCCTTTCCTCTGCATGTACCCAGAACGTTCTGCAAAGGGAAGGCTATTGTTTTCCATGCCGCCAGTCTGCCTGGAGTCGCGGAACGCCGATTCCCCCACTCCAACCGGGCCAAATCAAATCAACATGACCAGTGGCTTGCCTAGCTCGGGAAGCGGTATCCCTGCAAAACAATGAACTTGTTTTGATTTCAACTGGCTCTCTCTGATTTGCCTCCGACTTTTTATTGCTCTTGGCACGTCGTGGGCCTGCAGACCGTTGGGTCCATCAAGAACAAGATCAACAGCATCAATGACATGCCAACTGAGCCTTGCCATCAGCTTCGGGACCGCAACATGCCATTTTTGGACAAACGAGCGCTGGCAAGGGGTAGAAGCTCGTGTTTTGATCTCGGTTCCCGGATCAGACGTCTTAATTCCCCATGAATCCACTCCCATGAGATGGCTCGGGCCAATTGACACTGGTGATGTCTGCCGGCGTCGCTCGTAGCCCAAACGCTGTCGCCACCCTTCGCATCCCGCTTGTCAAATGCAGAAGCGCAATTTCCACAAGAGCTGTATGCTCCACCGCGGTAATGATCGATATTGCTACTCTGGCGGAGCGAATGTGATAAGGCTTGACGTCTATCATCACTAATGGATCGATAGATTGCGACTAGTGCCAGATCGCGGAGCACCCTTGGCGCCCACTCACGCCTGGAACGTTTGAAGCAAGCAAGCCTGGGAGCTCCTCGGCGTAAGAGCTTCCCTGCCGCCTTCGTCAAAATCATCCTTTCAAGGGGAAGAGAACAGGGCGAGAGGGGTGCATTGTCTTCCGGCTCGCCACTCCAAAATGCGGCAAATTGGATGCGCGGTAGAGTCTATGTGAAGAATGACCTGGAACGGCGGCCTCCAAGTCGGTTCTCCGGGCGGCGCGCTCTGGGTGTGCTGAGTTATGGAGGGCTCATTTCCTCCTGATGCGCTCCATATTTTGCTGGAGCAGCTGTGCCATCCACAAGGACTGGTCCTCGCAAATAGATCCTGTAGTATTCGTCACTAGGACCGAGGATTTGAACCTCTTCTGGACTTGATGTTGCAATATCAAGCTACGGATTGCCTCTGAGCGGATCGATGCCTCTGGCATTATGAGGCCGCTTGTAAGCAAGAACGCAGCACAGAGAGCAGATCGGTTCAAGAACGAGGCTGTCCGGGCCCGCCTTAACACTGGTGAGCCAAATTCAATACATAAATAAGGTTGAAATGTTTGCTAAGTTATCGTACTGCAGCAAGCTTCAAAGAAGCTTAGAATGCTCCGTAGCCACAAAGCGGTGGATGGGGGGACCAACCCCCCAATCTCCCTGGAAGGTCGCAAGCTTATCTGTATATCAACACTCCCTGGTTCCTGCCCGCTCACATTCTTCTTTCCATCCCCCTAGCCGATTTTCTCTCCAGGTACTTTATGTGCTGTGTCCCCACGGAGCCCAGAATTTGACCCCATCTCCACGGTAGCACGAACATTGAAGGTTGTACCTATGCATTGACGCATCATACCTTGCATCTTTTGGTGCATTATGTTGCTTCAATTCCTCAACGTGTTTGCACATATTCATTGATTGAACACGAAGCGCACGCTACTACCTTACTGATGCACTGTTAATTCCCTACCACAAATGGGAAGCTACGACCTCTCACAGGGACAGCCCTTGCAGGAACCACCCACCATAAGGCAATTACCAATTCGCCATTTCCTGTCCTCCTTTACATCCATTTTCTCCGACTCATTCTTAGAATCTTTTTTTATTTTTTCCAAATAACGTCAAGTTCTCTCTGGATTGACATGTGATGAAATAAGCTTACGCCAAACGCGCGCAAACAGATTACTAATTCATTATGCAGCTATTTACTCACGTTGACGTTATTGAAGTGGGTGGCCTCAAGTGAGGAGTAGCCAGTAGCCATGACAAACCCGGGAATATCCAGTTTGCGACCCAACATCTACCACATTCCTCCGTAAACATTCATTTCATCAGGAAAGGCAGCACAAAACCCTCATAATGGCATCCACGATGAAAGCAGTTGGTAAGATGGACACAACACATTGCATTGCTTCTCGAGGGCTGTAGCTTATTAGCAGCACTAACTTTCTCCCGTCTCAAGATATCAAAGGAGGCAAGGGTGAGAGTGACGCTCTATTCATCAATCCCGAGTTTCCGAAGCCCACGGCAGGAGATGGCCAGGCAATTGTAAAGATCAAGGCGTTTGGCATCAACCGCATGGACATTATCCAACGCCGCGGCTTCTACCCGTACTTCTGCATCCAGCCTGACTGTTCCACTAGACAGATATCTAAACTAAGCTATGATACAGGTTACCCCCTCAGGCGCCGGCTACCTTGGGTGTCGAGTTCAGCGGCACGATCGAGTCCTTCGGGCCAGGTGACCACGGCCCCTTCAAGGTGGGCGATGAGGTGTTCGGTCTTGCATATGGCGGCGCATATGCCGAGTACATCGCAGTCAGCAGCAAGATGCTCCTCCACAAGCCCAAGGAATTGAGCTTTGAGCAGGCTGCTGCCGTCCCTGAGTCATGGATCACGGCGACCCAGGCATTGCACTTTGTATTGGGCTTTGCCAAGGGGAAGTCCATCCTCTGGCACGCAGGCGCATCGGGTGTCTCAATTGCCGGGATCCAGCTGTCCCATGCGGCTGGCGCCTCAGCCGTCTATGCCACGGCGGGATCGCAGGAGAAGTGCGACTTCATCACCTCCAAGCTGGGCGCCACGGCAGCTTTCAACTACAAGACGCAGGACTGGGCCAGCGAGATCAAGGAGAAGACGGGCGGCAAGGGTGTGGACTTCATCGTCGATTTCGTCGGCGCCAACTACTTCCAGTCCAACCTGGATGTGTCTGCGCGGGATGCTCGGATAGTCCTCCTGGGCACTCTGAGCGGAGGCAAGGTCAAGGATGCCGACATTTCTCAGATCCTTTACAAGCGCATCCAGATCACGGGCAGCACGCTTAGGAGCCGGGATGAAGAGTACCAGGGCAAACTGCGGGACAGGCTGGAGACGTACAACCCACAGTTTGTTAGTGGGGAGCTGAAGATTATTCTTGACAAGGTTCTGCCTTGGGAGGAGGTTCAGGAGGCGCACAAGTACATGGAGGAGGCCAAGAATTCGGGTAAGATAGTCTGCACTATCTCGTGAGCTTGGCAAAACACAGTGGTGTTGGGGGGCTCGGATTTGCCTACCTCAGTCGGCCATAGATCCAATAGTATCTCGCTTTTTGAGTTGCTCATATTCTTCTCTCCAATATCAAGCTTATCAAGTATATGCCCGGTATTTGCCAAAAAGTGTAGTGCAGCAGGGTTCAGCTACAAGATTGTGCGTAGGTAGGTGAAAATACCTACCTTAATAGTTTGGTTGTGACATACCTCTAAGCTCTGGTGCTAGTGCTCACCGAATGAAGAGTAACTAGTACATATTATAACTCTCTGGCAAGATACCGTGCATCCTTGTTTACCCGTCTAAAAAAAAAATGCACTATGTTGTTCTGTATTGAACGGTTTGAGCAATGACAGGTCTTGCCGACCAAGTAGACAGTGGTCTGCTAGGTAAGGTGCGCCGGTCTTGCTCCAGTGGTCACAGTAGCGCTACAGCGCAACATGGAACCGATGAACACCAGGCATGATGAAGCTGCTTCCATCTGTGGGTGTCAATCAGGCCAAGAAGGGGCTAGCACATTGGAATTCGAATCCAAGTCCATCCTTTTCGACAGCAGGTCATTCTGAGGTCAGAAGCGCCGCCTTATCCCCCTGGGAATACCTACTTTTGCCCCTTTCTCAAGGTCGACCACTTGTTGCGTAGTCGGTATAGAGAGCACTAGAAGCTACAGTGGAGGGGCCACGAGCACTATAGAGCTAAATGCTTACCTAAGACTCAACCCCGCAGCGCGTACAGAAATCCACTAAACGCGGTGAACGCGTCTTCTTCAGCCGTGAATATTCCTTCAGTCCTGCCTCCCAAATTGAACCCCTCCATAATTCTTCAGTTCCTTCTTGGTTTTGTCAATACCTCCCAACTGACTCTAAACGACCTAGGATACGGTGACTGTCCACTCATTAATAAGTGCTTTTGATACTGCCGTCTCAAAATGACTGCCTCAAACGATGCTATCTCCTCAGGAGCTCTCGAGTGCGTGACTCCTGTTTCCCTCCACCCAACTACTTTCAGAACGTGAGCTGACCGGCCTACTCAGGGCCATCTTTACCGACAAAGACAAAGCTGCCCGCGAATATCCCGTACCGATTCTGCAATGCCTACAAATCAAGCCCATGGCATCCGGCGCCCAGGGCGGTCAAGAGAGATATCGACTTGTACTGAGTGACGGCCGCCACTTCGTTCAGGCCATTCTGGCCACCCAGTCAAATCACGTCATTCACGAGGGACAGCTCCAAGTCCGCAGTTTCGCCCGAATCAAGGAGTATACTACACAGAATTTGAAAGAAAAGCTGTACGTTCTTATAGATATGACTCCTATCGTTGCCGAACCAAGACCAGCGTGCTAATTTAACTGGTTTAGTATCATGATCATCCTCAGTATGGAAGTGGTCGAATCTATGGGTGTCGCAGAGGGCAAGGTTGGAGCTCCCGTCAGCATTGAACAAGTCAGGCCCGCGACGAAGCCAGCAGAGACGACGATCCAGGGAAATGATTTCTATGGCGTCAAGGAAGAACCCACAACACAGCCCAAGCAGATGATGCCAACCCGTCCTGCCGCGACCCCGGGTGATCCCATCTACCCCATCGAGAGTCTTTCATTCGTTCTCAACAAGTGGAAGATCCGGGCGAGAGTTACTTTCAAGTCGGAGATCAAGAGGTGGCACAAGGCCAATTCTGAGGGAAAGCTCTTCAGCGTCCACCTGCTCGACGAGACTGGCGAGATCAAGGCTACCGGTTTCAACGACCAGGTGGATCAATTCTACGACACACTGCAGGAGGGCTCTGTCTACTACATCTCGACCCCTTGCAAGACGACCACTGCCAAGAAGCAGTTCAATAACCTGCCTCATGAGTTCGAACTCACCTTCACTCAGGAAACAACCATCGTCAAATCCGAAGATCAGTCGAGCGTGCCTCAGGTCAAATTCAACTTCTGCACAATTGAGCAACTGCAGAGCGTTGAAAAGGATAACACCGTAGATATCATTGGCGTTCTGAAAGAAGTCGGCGATTCTGACGCAATTAAGACCAAGGATGGCAGAAGCTTCTCGAAGCGCGATCTTACTCTGGTTGACGAGACTGGATTTTCTGTCAGACTCACAGTCTGGGGCAAGACTGCAGAGGGTTTTGAAATCCAACCTGAATCAGTCGTTGCTTTCAAGGGTGCCAAGGTCTCCGACTTTGACGGAAAGAGTCTCAGTCTCCTATCCTCCGGTACCATGTCTGTTCATCCCGACATTCCTGACGCTCATAGGCTGCAAGGCTGGTATGAATCAGCAGGTAGGGGCGGTAACTTCCAAAGCCACAGAAATGGCATGGGGAACGCCTCAGGCCGATCAAACCCAGTCAAGACCGTTGCCGAAGTGAATGCTCTAGATGTCAATATGTTGTCAGATGACGGTGCACCTGTTTATTATTCACTTAAGGCTTCGATTCTCTTCTGCAAGCAGGATACATTCGCTTACGCCTCGTGCCCTAACTGCAGAAAGAAGATTGTCCAAAGCACAGATGGCACTTGGTTCTGCGAGATGGACCAGAAGCCTTACGACAAACCAGAATATCGCTACATCATGTCACTCAGCGTCGCTGATCACTCTGGTCAGCAATGGATCAGCGTGTTCGACGAAGTTGGCAAGGTGGTCTTAGGAATGAGCGCGAACGACCTTATGGAGCTCAAGGAAAATGGAGACGAAGCATTCGGTGCAGCTTTCCAAGAGGTCCTCTACAAGAAGTTTACCTTCAAGTGCCGAGCAAAGAAGGATACTTACCAAGATGTTCCCAAGTCAGTATATCCCCCCAAAAAAAACAGTAATCGCTCCAGGTTGAACAAGGGTTTACTAACAAGCATCAACGCAGGATCCGTCACCAAGCCTCTGAAGCTATCCCTCTGGATTTCAAGGCTGAGGGTAACAGATTAGCAGAGCTTATCAAGAAGTATGACATCAACGCTTAACGAAAAGGCCATGGAAATTTTTCAAGGGAGTAACTGAAGGCGCTGGTGGTTTGGTATTCGCTTTCTAGCTTAAATGGCTGCTTTCTGTTTTTGGGTTTACATTTCTCACTGTTGAAGTTGTGTGGCATTGTTTGGGGGGTCCGCTGGCACATCAAGATGAAGCAAAGAATATGATACAATCTGACTTTTGGTCATGCCATTGATAAGGCCAGACAAGGACAATTCCACTCTCCGATGCCTACCTAAATCATTTCATTTTGTTGAAATCCTTTATCCCGATTCGTTCATTCATTTTATCTAGGCATTTAGAGGGGTAATCTGGCATGTGTCCAGGGAGTCTTTCCTTCGCCTTCACCGTATCCTGTTGTGGGCTGGTAGTCTCCCCTGATCTTGTACTTGTAAATGGTGAGGCCCTCGAGTCCCACGGGACCTCGGGAATGGATCTTGTTCGTGCTGATCCCAACCTCGGTTCCAAAGCCATATCTCATGCCATCGGCCAGGCGGGTCGATGCGTTCCAGTAAACGCCAGCAGAGTCGACTTCGTTCATGAAACGCTCCGCCTCGGCCTTGTCGGAGGTGAAGATGGCGTCAGTGTGGTGAGAGCCATGGGCGTTGATGTGGGAGATGGCCTCGTCTATCGAAGGGACAGTCTTGACCGAGAGGGTGAGCGACAGGTGCTCAGTGTCATAGTCTTCGGGAACGGCGTCCTGGATGTTGGCGAGAGAAAGAGATGCGAGGGCCGCCTTGCTGGCAGGGTCGCAGCGCAGGGAGACGCCCTTCTCGGAGAGCGCCGAGGCGATGCCAGGGAGGAGGGTGGGGAGCGCCGTGTCCTGGACGAGGAGCGTCTCGACACTGTTGCAGGCGGCAGGGTAGCTGGTCTTAGAGTCCACGACGCCAGTGATAGCCTTGTCTTTATCGGCGGTTGCGGTGAGGTAGATGCTGCAGATTCCGTCGGCGTGGCCAAGCACCGGGATCTTTGTTGCTCCCTTGATGTAGCGAACGAGCTCATTGCCGCCTCTGGGGATGACGAGGTCGATATAGCGATCCTGGTCAAGCAGCTGGGAGATGGCGTCTCGAGTGGTGACGAGCTGGATGGCACCATTTGGGACCTCGGTCTTCTCGAGGGCTGCGGAGATGACCTTTGATATGGCCACAAAGGACTCGGTTGATTCCTTGCCACCCTTGAGAATGGCGGAGTTTCCCGACTTGATGGCAAGACTGGCGATGTTGGCGATAACCTCAGGGCGGGCCTCGAAGATGATGAGTAAAACTCCAATGGGGCAGGATACACGCTCCATGGTAAGGCCATCTGCCAGCTGGGATCGCATCTGCACTTGTCCGACTACGATCGTTGTCAATATTCATGCACGGTGAAGACGTGCGATTCCCTTCGGGTCTGGATACTTACTAGGATCGTCCAGTCCCTTGACATCGAGAATCCCCTTGAGCATGTCCTCCCATTTACCCTTCTTGCCAAGGTCCAGACGAGACACGAGAGCCTGGCTCAGCGAGCCATCAGCGGCAGCCTTGCGTGCTGCCTCGAGATCCTTGGCATTGGCGGCTAGAATGTCGTCCTTGGCCTCTGACAGGGCGGCATGGATAGTCTCGAGAGCAGCATTACGGGCCGAGGCAGGGAGTGTGGCCAGGGCGAAGGACGCAGTCTTTGCGGAGCTGGCCGCAGCCTCTGGGGAGGCGTTGGTGAGAGACATGGTTTTCAAACAGACGGCTTTTTAGATGACAAGGAAAAGAATCACGGTGAAGAATCACAGCTCGGGCAGCAGAAGAATAAATGAAGAGCTCAGTGCATGTGAATATGAGCTTTTCGATTTTAGTCAATGTGAGTGGTAGACAGGAACCTCGAAGCTCGGTAAGGTGGGGCTGCACCTGCCCCGCGGTCGGCGATGATCCGGACTCAATTGAGGAATTGTTTGAGTGAGTCAATTTGGATGGATGAGTGGCCTGTGATTTCTGGCCGGGTATATCTATTCTAATACTCTCCCCGGTCGTCACATCCAGCTTGGGGAATCGTCCCTGAAGAACCACATCCCCTGTGGCCCAGCTGGCTAAGGCGTCCGACTGTTACCAAGTAACGTAATCGGAAGATCGACAGTTCAATCCTGTCCGGGGGAGTTTTCTTTTGCTTTTTGAACTTCGAAACCAGAAAGAAGACAGTAGCTATCAATCACGGTCTTTTTTATGTCAAATTCTTCTCGTATGTAATATATCTACGTTCTGTTCCAATGGACTGGTGCAAAAAAGATCAGGCTTCGAAAAGTTTCCCAACCGCACCAAGACCAACATTCCCACCACTGAAGACAATACCGAGATCCCAGCCAGCCTCGCCGCCCTCTCGCTCCACCATGGACCTGAAATCCTCATCAAAGAGGGCCACTGCCAGTCCAACACATGCACTTTGCTCAACGACAAGCTTAAACCTCTCAAAGACCAGCTTCATCGCGGCCTTGATCTCGTCATCCGTCACGCTGTAGAAACCACTTACCAGCCGCCGCTCGTAGATGACCTTCCACGGGTGTGCTCCCACAGGCGTACGCAGGCCATCGGCTATGGTCAGACTCGACACTGCCGTGACCCTGGTGCCGGACTCGTACCCACGCTTCCCATCATCGGCGCCTTGGAACGACGGCTCGGCGCCAAAGACCTTGATGCCGGTGCCCTCGCAGCTCAACGCCACTCCGGAGAGCATGCCCCCTCCGCCGCAAGGGGTGATGATGGCATCCAGCCCCTTGTTCTCCCGACCACCACTCCCCGGGGATATCGTCTTCGGGGCGCGGAAGCTGTGCTGGGCCTCGTCGGCTATCAGGTCCCGCGCCTGCTGCTGCAACTCCAAACCCAAGGTCCCCTGACCGAGCATGATGTCGGGGTGGTCGTAGGGCGGCACCAGCCGCGCCCCAGTCTCGGCGATGACCTTGTCCGCCACGGCCTCACGCTCCACGCTGGTGCTTCCGCTGAAGATGACGTTGGCCCCGTAGCCCCTCGTGGCAGCAATCTTGAGCGGGTTGGAGATCTCGGGCATCACGATGTGGGCCTTGATGCCACTCTCCCTCGCCGCCAGAGCGAGAGCCTGGGCATGGTTTCCTGCGATTTGTGTTAGCGACACTGGCAAGGGCTCGTTCATTGGGCTTGTCTCCCGGAGCAATATCAAAACATCGTAAAAATAGACAGAAGCCTTACCGGAGCTATGGGTGACAACACCCTTCTCCTTGCCACCACCCTCGAGCCATCCCGGTTCCAGCTTGAGCCGCTCAATGGCATGGAAGGCGCCCCGCGCCTTGAACGCGCCGACCCGCTGCAGGTTCTCGCACTTAAACCAGAGCCTCAGGATGGGCTTCGCGGCCTCGCGTCCCTCCCACTGCGTCCCCTGCAGGTCGCGCGGCGTCGATGCCAGCTCCGTCAACGTCCGGTTGGTGAGCACGGGCGTCTTGTGGATGTGGGGTTTGACGAGCTCGTGGGCTGTCACCACCGAGTCACGGGTGAGGGGGAGCGTCGTCGACAGATCAGCCATGTTTTCTTATAAAAAATATATATTGCTCTACAATTCGGGAAATTTTTCAAAATAAAAAATCGCAGTATATGACACTGCACCATCTGCCCCCCGGGTCTATAAAGGGCAGGCAGCGTATTAGGCAACGATACCGGAGGAATGAGATGGAATCTCATCGCCGGACCCGCCGTGCTCCACGCAGGAGCCGAGACCGCTACCCGAGCTGTTGGATCGCCATACGACTGACTCAGGCGGGCTTCATGTCCGTGTAAGAATTTGTGCGCGACACGGTAGCCTCAATGAGTTGACGGCGAGAGGCCCAGTGAGGCATGGGGTAATCTTGAGAAGCGATCGTGGAAAAGAAGAAAGTTTGAGATAAAAAAAAAGGAAAAAATGCACCGATAAATACCCATGGGATTCACATTGGTAAAGCAAAAGCTTGCATTCATATATGTTTGATAACTTTTTTTCGTCATATTTTTAATTCTCATTCAAACCCTTTTTGCACATGAATCCTGCCCGTTGGTATAAACGCTTCAGAGGACCCTCTCACTATACAACAAAACGAACCCCTCGCGCGCGCGTCGCTTATTTTTGGTTCTCGGGTCGGAGAGAGCTGTGAGATGAGATGTTAGCATGAATTACAGTCTGGCAAGGTAGAATGTCAACGTACCGGACAGCCTTTCCGGCCCTCCAGATCTCCAGGTTGCGGATCTCATCCAGCTCAGCCTCGTACTTCTCACGGTAGTCGGGCTGGCTGTTGTACTGGAGAGAGCGGCGGGTCTCGGAACCGTCCTTGACGGAGGCGTAGAGGTCGTTGAAGACGGGCTTCAGGGCATCCTTGAAGCGAGGGGTCCAGTCAATGGCACCACGGCGGGCGGTGGTGGAGCAGGCGTCGAACATCCAGTCCATGCCGTTAGCACCAATGAGGGGGTACAAGCTCTGGGTGGCCTCCTCGACGGTCTCGTTGAAGGCCTCGCTGGGGCTGTGACCCTGCTCACGGAGAACCTCGTACTGGGCGAGGAACATGCCGTGGATACCACCCATGAGGCAGCCACGCTCACCGTAGAGGTCGGAGTAGACCTCCTTCTCGAAGGTGGTCTCGTAGAGGTAGCCGGAGCCGATGGCAACACCAAGGGCAATAGCCTTCTCCTTGGCCTTGCCAGTGACGTCCTGGTAGACGGCGAAGGAGGAGTTGATGCCACGGCCCTCACGGAAGAGAGATCGGACAGTGCGGCCAGAGCCCTTGGGGGCGCACAGGATAACGTCAATGTTGGAGGGAATATCAACCTTGGTGTCCTTCTTGAACACGGGGGAGAAACCGTGAGAGAAGTAGAGGGTCTGGTTTCGCCTTGGTCAGCTCTGGGCTTGCATTGGGCGAGCAATTGCTTGTTGGGCGGTTACGTACCTTGCCCTCGACGAGCTGGGGCTTGATAGCGGGCCAAGTCTCAGACTGGGCGGCATCGGAGAGGAGGTTCATGACGATGGTACCGCGAGA